TAAAGATTTTTTCCATCAAAAATTGTGTTAGAATTTTAAAACTGAAGTCCCAACTGGATCGTTGTGAAAATTGGAAACAATTGACAAGTTCTATAGACAAAATCCCTCAACTCGATTTGGTGGGTTCTGGGCAGCTGTAGAGGCTTCTTGTTTCGTTCTTCACGACGGCCAACTTTTTTTTTTTTCCACATCATAATATTTAATTAAACTTGTGGGATCCTCTTATGTGTCACATCAGCACATAATAGAATTTTTGACATAATTGTGACGGAATGACCACATTGATTTGCGACGTCCATTTTCAGGAACTGCATTGATCGCTTTTTGAATTTCAAGACCATCTTAATGGGATAGGTCAATTTCAAAGATCATTTGTGATAAAAACCCATAAAAATATATCATTGATTAGATCCAAAACAAAAATATATCATTGATATATGGCTTAATAGTAGATTTTTTTATCCATTTTTGGCTAAATTATTTTTAGCCAGAAATTTGAAAAGTTCGGAATACAGTATAATTGGTAGAGATGGTGCCACGGCTTTTGACACGTTTTGAGCATGCAAAGCAGCATGCAACCAGCACGCAAGCACACCTATCCTGTTAAATTATTCGTCCAATGCTCAATGACACGTTTAGGCTAATTAATTTATCAATTATGTTTTAATGTATATCAATATTTTTAAGGGAACTTTAATGAAAAGCTCTCGATATTGTTCACTTTAATGAAAAACCATATTTTTACACTAAAAGTCAATCATGGTACTATTCACTTTACCCTTTATTTTGTCCTTATCGTTAAAACTAAAAGTTTTCAAATCCTTTTAATTAGTTATCCTTATTTTTAACTGTTAAATTATTCGTCCAATGCTCAATGACTAGATGTACAATCAAAATTTCAGTGTATAGCATATATAGAAATAAGGGTAAAAGACTGTTTACTACCCTCATGTTTTGTGGTTTTCAACATTTAGTACATCAAGTTTTTTTTCAGATTCATACCTAAAGTGTAAATTTTGGGACAGTCTCATACATCTGTTAATCAAACTGTTAAATCTGCCGTTAATTGTGACGTGGCCCCATAATTGGGCGCCACGTGTCATCCACATTTTTTTTTCTTTTCTTTTCTTCTTTCTTCTTCTTCCTTCTTCTTCAACTTTTTTTTTTCTTCCTCCTTCTCCTTCTTCCTTCCTCCTTCCTTCCCCTTCTTCTCCTTCTTCCTTCTTCTTCCTTGTCCTTCTCCTTCTTCTTCTTCTTCCTCCGAATTTAGGGAATTTTTTTTTTCTTTTTTCTTTTTTCTTCTTTTTCCTCCTTCTTCCTCTTTCTTCTTCTTCTTCTTCCTCCGACTGCAACTTTTTTTTTTCTTTTTCTTTTTCTTCCTCCTTCTCCTTCTTCCTTCCCCTTCTTCTCCTTCTTCCTTCCTCCTTCTTCCTTCCCCTTCTTCTCCTTCTTCCTTCTTCTTCTTCCTCCGAATCTGGGGAAGATGAAGGTTTTTTTTTTTCTTCCTCCTTCTTCTCTTTCTTCTCCTTCTTCCTTCCTCCTTCCTCCTTCCCCTTCTTCTTCTTCTTCTTCCTTCTTCTTCCTTCTTCTTCCTCCGAATCTAGGGAAGATGAAGGTTTTTTTTCTTTTTTTCTTTTTTCTTCTTTCTTCTTCTTCCTCTTCCTTCCTCCTTCTTCTTCCTTCTTCTTCTTCTTCCTCCGACTGCAACTTCTTTTTTTCTTCCTTCTTCTTCTTCCTCCTTCTTCTTCTCCTTCTTCCTTCCTCCTTCCATCCCCTTCTTCTCCTTCTTCCTCTTCCTTCTTCCTTCCCCTTCTTCTCCTTCTTCCTTCTTCCTTCTTCTTCATCTTCCTCAAAACAAAAAAAAAAGAAAAAGAAAAAAACCTTCATCTTCCCCAAATTTGAGGAAGAAGAAGAAGGAAGAAAAAGGAAGAAGGAGAAGAAGGGGAAGGAAGGAGGAAGAAAAAAAAAAAGGTTGCGGTCGGAGGAAGAAGAAGAAGAAGAAAAAAAAAAAAAAACTTCCCCAGATTCGGAGGAAGAAGAAGAAGGAGAAGGAAGAAGAAGGAAGAAGGAGAAGAAGGAGAAGAAGGGGAAGGAAGAAGGAGGAAGGAGGAAGGAGGAAGGAAGAAGGAGAAGGAGGAAGAAAAAAAAAATTGCAGAAGAAAGAAGAAAAGAAAAAAAAAACATGGATGACACATGGCGCCCAGTTATGGTGCCACGTCACAATTAACGGCAAATTTAACAGTTTGACTAACGGATATATGAGACTGTCCCAAAATTTACACTTTAGGTATGAATCTGAGACGAAAAAAACTTGATGTACTAAATGTTGAAAACCACAAAATATTAGGGTAGTAAACAGTCTTTTACCCTAGAAATAATATGGTAGCTAGCAAGAATTTTGAATTCAAATGTATCACATAAGAATTAATACTTCAACTTTTCTTTTATTTTCTTTGACATAAGAGATTTATTTAGAATCTGTGTACTCATCACACTTACAATCGATTTCTTGGAGTGTGGGATGAAAAAATGTTAACAAAGGAAATTAGACTACTATCTTATAAGCACTATAAAATAAATAAATAAATAAAAAGTAACATCGTATAGTAATAATTTACAAATTAATAATTAAGATTTTTATCACCTAAACGGTGATAGAATCAGGATTTGAACCTAGGAGAGTCTCAATATTAAAGCCTTAAGTTTTCTAAATACTCCCATAGCAAACATGAAGGAGTAAATTGATTAAATTAAAACATAAAAGACCAAAATTATTAATCTCCAACATATTGTCAATTGGATTTATTAGGGAACCTCAACTTCTTCATGGTATCAGAGCAGGTGTTCCACGTGTGAAGCCCAACTACGACATGTGCTTCACGTTACCCGATTTGTGTTGTCCACGTATTTGGCTTAAAAATTCACCGCATATGAGGTGACGTGTTAAGAATGAATATCATATTGATGGGAGAAGAGACCTTGCATGTGCTTATAAAGAGTTGGCATACTTTCCATATTGTCAATTGATATCTACCCCTATCAACAGGACCATGATTTGGATAATACCCAAGTGATGCTTTTCTACCATAAGAGTATTCACAGGTTTACACCCTAACATACCAATCTCTTTCAACTTATTTTCATTGAGATAGGAAAATACTTTTAGTTGAATGGGCGACCTCAACTCCAAGAAAATACTTCAAGTCTCCCAAATCTTTCATCTTAAATTCGGATGCAAGATTTAAATGTAACTTCTGGATTTCTTCTGAATCATCCCTTGTAATAATCATATCGTCCATATAAATAATTAAAGCAGTCAATTTGCCAAGCCTATGCTTCAGAAACAAAGTGTGATATGAATGTCTCTAGGGATACCCATATTTCTTCATTGCTTAAGTAAACTTGTCAAACCAAGAATGGGGCAGTTGCTTAAGTTCATAAAGAGACTTATGCAATTTGCACACTTCTATATTACCACTTGCACCATAACCTAGTTGAAGGACAATATACACTTCCTCCTCCAAGCTACGATGAAGGAATGCATTCTTCACATCAACTATCTAAGAAGCCAATCCATATTTGCAGCTAAGGAAATAAAAACACGTACAATATTCATCTTTGGTACCAGAGAAAAGGTTTTTTTGATAACTTTGAGTGTACCCCTTAGTCACTAACCTTACTTTGTACCTGTCCACTAATCCATCAGCCTTGTAGTTGATTGTAAACACCCAACGACAACCAACATGTTTCTTCCCTTTTTGGTAATTACATTATCTCCAAGTTTAATTTTTCTTCAAAGCTGAAATATCTTCATCCGGTCTCGTAGGGCTTCTTTTACCTGAGTTGGAGTTTTGATTGATTCCATATAATCGACCAATGCCCTCCAGTTTGGTGAACAGTGCTCACATGATACACACTTAGCAATCAGATACTTGACCTTCCATTCCAGAGAAAACCAGTCAGGTGGCACACCACGATTTTGTCTTGTTGGCAATTTATAAGTACTCACACCAATATCAGGATTAGTTGTATTATCATTTAAAATACTTACCTCTTGGATATTTAGAGAAGATGGAATAGACAATAAAGGATTAGAAAAAGGGGGTACTACAAAAATACTGGGCAATCTAGCACATTCCTGCTGAACTGGATTGTTCTGTTCAGTTGGAAGCTATCAAACTAGGTTGTACTGTTTGATGAACTCTTTCTGAACTGGGTTGTTTTATTCGGTTGGAAGTTGTCGAACTGTGCAGGTGGTAATTAACAAGTTGGGGACAATATCCATGTTGTTGGAAGTGGGCTTTGACCCATCTTTCTGATAATTTGACATGGTATCAGAGCTAGGGAGCTGGTCCATACTACCATGTGAAGGGCGTGTCCCCTTGTCCCCACACAATGATGTTAGGTCCCTTGGCCCCGCGTGTTGGGTGAGTCTATTGACCCTGCGTACTGGGTGAGTCTCCTTGGCTCCACGTGGTTTTCAATTTGTGGATCTCTCACGTGTGACCCACTAATTGGGTCTTACGTGAGCAAGGTTTGGAAATATCAACATCAGTTGTCTCTTTGAGAGCAGAAGAGTTTAAATGTCATAACACCACTCCAACCAACACCGACGCCGTTTGTGATAAAAACCCCATACATGTCGAATTGTGTAGGTGATAACTAACAAGTTAAGGACAATATTGATGTTGTTGAAAGTGGACCCTTGGCCCTTCTCTTTGGTAGTTTGACAAAAAATAATAAGTTGTTAGATTAAACCAGGAAAAGAGGTCAATTTCTTTTAACTGGACTAATTGTATCACCGTGTACAACAAGAAGCGCCCATGGCCTAATGGATAAGGCGTCTGACTTCTAATCAGGCGATTGTGGGTTCGAGTCCCACTGGGCGTGCGTGCATTCTCCACTATTGTTATTTTTTCTAATTTTGTTTTTTTTTTTTAAATTCCACAAAACATAACACAAGAATGTGCGATGGTTTTCTTTAAGGGAACACAAAAGAGGAGACGACAACATCAGCATCATACAATATTTCCAAATCATAAAATCATTCCATTCATCAGCTTAACCTAGTTTACAAAATCTACCAGATCTTAACAATGTCACCCAAGACGATAACCCCACACGAAAAGAAAAAAAAAAAAATCATCTAAACAGGACACACTACTGTTACTCTTACAATGTCTTTACGCCAAAAACGCGGGTTCCTGTATGTTAATAATCAGTCCTTCCATGCACGTTCGTCTTGCATCCCTCAATCACCAGGTCAAAGTGCCTCGGAAAAACGCAACTCAGCAGGGCCTGGACCCAAAATCCCTTTTTGTTCACTAATCTTTCCCAGCCCAGGAGGCGGCTCTACTGGTACGGTCTTTTCGTCATCTCTCCAGATAGTCGTCACTGGCACTTGCCACTCTCTCTGCAATATCAAAAGGCTTCCATCATAACTATCAATCTTATATCATCTACCTTAAACAAATTGGCTGTTAAGACTAAAAAAAGTTGAGTATTCAGTGACTAGTAGATTAGTCATGACTAATAGGTCCAATTTCTAATCTTTGCAAACTTTAAAAAACTTACCTCATCTTGAATGTACGTTACATCGTGCAGCACTGGTGTCATGAGCGGGGGAGTAATATCAGGGTCCGGCTTTTGGAATATAAACGTGGTATATAAACCTGAAAAAGAAAATTTTGTTTTAAGGTTTGAACACGAATTCATTATCATAATGGAAAGAAAATAAAGAGCAACTGAGCAAGTTGTAACAGACGACATAGTAGAAACAAAAGCATCACCTAATACATCATATGATCGAGGAAGAAGTCTTCCTCGAGGATCCACAAGGTTTGAACAGGAATTCATTATCATGCCTGCAAATTGTGCTCTTACAGCAGAAATATATAGGAAAAAGGAAAATTCAGCCACAATAAGTTAAAGAAAAAGTTATGTGAAATGATAACAGTAATAATATGGTTTGAAAGTTTTATTTGCAGGTTTTGTTAGAAATATACACTGGAATGCTTGTGGAAAATTGAAGAGAAAAAGAATTCAAACCTGTTGTCATCGTAAAATTCAGTTAAGTTTTGAATCTCCACATACTCAAGACCAGCTTCTCTGGCTAACCTGTTAACATACAACAGAGGGTCATTATCAAGATCAATTGAAAATCAACATCTAAGGCAACAGACAAAAAAATGCAACTGCCTGCATTCTGACCAAACTTTGGAAGCAAAGCTAAACCTGATAAAGCTTGGGAAATGAACCAAGTGATGACTTTCAGGAGAGATATCATTAGCAAATTTCAGTTGGTATTTCTTTCCAAATATAGGAAACCTGAAAGTGGAAGTACATTCACTTAGGAAAAAAGATTGAATGCTAATTACCAAAATCATCCAAGAAAACAAAACCTCAGAGGTGCTTAACATCTCAAGCTTATACGCACTTCTCTTCCTCAACTTCAAAGGTAATCGTGTAGTTCTCTGATCTAATGCAATTGGGGACAATGTTCGGTTTCATGCCACCACTTCTATTGTGGTATGCTTCAACATTCTTCTGGTACTTTGCCCTGTATGACCATAATGTCAAATTAGCAATCGCTATTTCCCTGCTCCAAGGCAAAGATGTGCCATGAAAAAAAGGTTCACTAAATGTACCAATTTAACCAAATCAATGCTACATATAGAAAATATATAATTAAACAACAGATCTTTGTCAAGCATCTTCCATACCATATTGTAGATGAGTCAGGAGTAATACCAAAAAAATAACCCCCCGGTTTCAATAAGGATGACACATTAAGCAATAGTTTCCTTGCTCTCTCCTCAGTTTGGAAACACATCTGTAAGTAAAAATTCTTTTAATTTTGGAATATGCAATTCTTAAATTAAAAACAAAAAAACAAAAAGGAAAAAAAAACGAGACTCTTAAAATGGAAAGAAAATACCAATCTTTAAAATAAATTAAAAACCTGCAAATTCTGCAAGCAGCAAACTAAATCAGTCGTGTTTGCCTTATCTTTCAAATGCATCTCTACATCTTCCTGTCAAAGTAATCCACTGTCAAAGACCAAAAATTATCCAAAGCAAGCAACTAAAAGCAGCTAAAAATTTCATATTAGATGAATCCTAGATAAATGTCACTCAGCAACCATTATTAGATACAGCTGAAGCCTGAAACTTATGACTAAATTGCACACTAACAACTAAGACAATTGTTAGTTCATGGAAATACAGTCCATCTCCGAAATCTAAAGTATAAAAGCAGAGGAGAGAAATCACTATTTTCAATCTGCACACTTAATATATGGCCAGTGACAACTTTGGTTCCAAACGACCAAAAAATCTGCACTTTTACATTTCATAGAAACCTCTCAAAGGCATTGCTCAAAAGTTCATAAAAGTTCAATCCATCAGATTTGCCGCCAACATGAGTTATAAGATGAATGAGTTGCTCAACCATATGGCTTAAGAGATCAATTCCTTTCAAACTATAGAAATGGTACTTCATGTTACCAGTTCCGAAAATCGTTATCCTTTCATTCGAACTAAACTCCTCTTACAACAGACATTCCATTTCTGGACATAACATATTTCTCCTAGTCTTAAAAATGGCAGACAGCAAAATTGAAGACCAATAATCTACAGTCCAAGAATCACAAGAAGGAAGAACACTGAATTCATGCTAAAATAAACCCAAAATAACCCTGATTCTGAATTTTCGACTTACAATGCGAAACCAACAAAGAGAAAGAAGAAAGCAAGAAACAAAGAAAGAGAGGCTAGGCTGCGTTACCATGCAAGGGTCAAGCTCAAAGAAGTCAGCAGTGTAAGCCTTCCTCTGGCTCTCCCACGCTTCTCTTCTCTGGCTTATTCCCGACGACGAAATATCTACCAATTCCAACAGCAAGCACCGCCATTGTTAACACTCACAAATTACAGACAAACATACACAGAAACAATACGAAGTTGCAAGAAACGGGAAATGAACGGTACCGATTCCGATGTAATGGCCGATTTGAGCATCGTCCCACTTCTCGGCGTCGACTCCTCCGCCGCAGTACAATTCGCACACCTTCAAAATGCACCACCAAAAATCACAGAATAACAATTAGACACGAATATCTGCGAAATTTGTGTGCAGAGATTGATATTTCTAGGGCGGAGTCGGACCGTGGCGTAAGGGTGGACGAAGATTCTGGTGAGTGCAGCTTTTGCGAACTCGTAGAGTCGGTGGTGAGTCGACTCCGCCTTCGTCCCCGCGTGCAGACTCATCGTCCCTGCGAAGCTCGAGTCGCCGAAGCAGCAGGCGCACACAGACGATTGTGAAAGAAATGAAATTACCTCCAAAAGCAGGCCCTGATTGGCAAATTATTTGGTTCGGACTTCGTTCAAATTCAACAAATTCGGTATAGGCTAAAGCCCTGTTTGGCAAATAATAAAATAAGAGCGAAAACGAGAGCTTAGTGGAAGCGGCCATACGGGTTTTGAACACGGCGCACCCGTTCGAGAAGGCCCGAGTCGGCGAGTCGAAGGCGACTCAGTGGCTCAGAGGGACTACTACTCGCGCCTACGATCCGTCCGTGAACCTCTCCTTGCGATCGCCTCACCATGCTCAGCAATTTTCCGTATACTTTTCAATTGTAGTGGTTTTTTTTGCGCGCCAAATGTTTTGATGAAATGTCTCGGTGTTTTGTGTATGAGTGTGCAGGAGCTTGGGCTATTGACTTGTCTTGGGTACTCACTCACTACTACTCGTTTGTTTAATGCAATTTAGTCTTGTAGGAATCCATTGAATGATGGGTTTTAGGGATTCTGATAAGTAAATGGCGGATTCTGATACCGTCACAATGACATTTCCATACGTAGGAAATTGATTCTCCCCCAATGCGGAATGAGCGCGACGACAAAATAGTGTGTGAACAATTTTGCATCGTTCATCCCGCATTGGAGAACAAATGCTGAAAGCAGGCACTCTCTTTTTTGATTTGGTGTTTCAGTTACGTTAGTTAGACTACGTTCTTTTGTTCAATTTTTGTAGTTCAGTGAGTTTGAATGTATACTGTAGTTTTGAGTCTGTTTGTGTTAAATATTGAATGTTGTAGGACATAATTGCTAGGTTCCGCAAGCAAGAGGCAATGCCGAGAGAGTTCTTCATGGATTTCGTGAAGGTGGCGCAAGATGAAGGGCATCACTTCACTCTCCTGGCATCTCGCCTCGAGGAGATGGGTTTGTTTTATGGAGCTTTGGCGACCCACGACGGCCTCTGGCCCTCTGGGACTCGGCAACTACCACTTCCAGACCTAATGGCGCGCCTTGCCATCGAGCATTGCGTGCACGAGGCGAGAGGACTCAACGTTGTCCCAACAACCATATCTCAATTCCGCAACAAGGGCGATGACAAAACGGCTGAATTGCTGGAAAGCGTGGTGCGCCGGGAAGAAATAACTCATTGTGCTGCGGGAATGATGTTGTTCGGTACAACTGAATGCCACAGAAAAAAAAAAAACCAAAATCTGCACATTAAAAAGGGAATTTATTGTTGAAAAATGGCGGATGTTTTCTGTGGCCATGTTTGTACATTATTCCCTTTTATTCAAGGGATGGTAACACTTGGAATTAGATGGGAAGTCATGCAAAAATTTTGCACCCACTGGTACCTCAATGATTTTTCTGCGTCGATGGACAAAGGAAGTTGGAAATTCTAGAAAACAAGGTGGCACAACAAATGCAAATGTACAGGCAAATCATGGGGAAAAAAATGCTGTGATCCTCTCGAACGATTTGAAAGAAACCTGCCACCACGGTTATTTCTGGCAAATCTCCTAGCTAATGATGAGGCCGAGGCTTCTTTCCTGTCATTACAAAAGAAGCCTTCGGATATCACTGAAGTTTGAACGTAAAGCTGAGAGGAACGAACCTGCAGGATAGATTGGGATTGTCTCATAAGCATATGTGAAGAAATCAAATGTATCAGCACAAATTACATTTCGTATCTATTTTTGTTTTTGAAGTTTCAGTTTGGAAGAAGATTGTAGCATTACGCACCTCCAACTTTTCCGTCAAAAACTCGATGATCAGCCGATAATGTCAAGTTCATTTTGGTGACAACTGCCGGCCTCTCAATTCCTGTGGTGGGGGGAGGGAAATTCACTTCATTTTCCCATTCCATAATGCATCAAATTTAGACTGCTGAGTAGAATGAGCAACAAGATATCTTACCGTCGCTTCCGATCACTGGTTCAACGACTTTGTTGCCTCTGCCAACAGCAAGGATACTGGCCTGAGGTGGGTTTATAATTGCACAGAAATGATCCACTGGAAACATCCCCAAGTTTGAAATGCTGCAGAACGAATGAGAAGTATTTCATAACTACTGTATTTGACGAAAGAATGGGTAAAAGCAACTAAGAATGCAATAAATTTCACCTGAAAGTTCCTCCTTGGAATTCATTTGGCTTAAGCTTTCCCGTTCGTGCCTTCTCAGCTAACTCCTTGACCTGACAAGAAAATATCAACCAAATTGATATTTGAAGAAATGTTAATATGACTTCACTTCCAAAGGTAAAATTCTAACTGAAAAACATAAAAAATATCATAGACCAGGTTAGATTTTCAACTCATAATTCTACATAGGTATGATTATCGTATGACTTCGCCGCAAATTTCTCAATATTCCAATTTACCATGAGCATAGCAAGCCAGAGGGGATCACAAGAAACGCGTTTCTTAAGTGTTAGCACGTTGGAAAGATAAAAGGAAACAGAAAAGGTGGAATCAAGAATGGAAAAATGAACTAAAAAATGCTTCGATTACTGTAAGTACCTCTGCAGAGATTGCTGATATTGATTTCTGATCTGCATTCTTCACAATTGGAGTCATCAGGCCCTGTAACAGTACCCAATCGTAAGAATGGACACTGCACAATACTATTTTCTGTTCATATGAGGTGCTGTATAACAAGTTTAAACACAAAAAATCGGCAAATTACCTTCTCAGTGGCCACAGCAATTGATATATCAACAGAATCACAAAGAAAGACTTCTCCTTTTTCAGCATCCCAGTAAGCTGTTGGGTATTAGAATAACAAACGTGTTAGCAAGGTCTAATATTGATTACAAATCAGTTCCAGAATATGGAAGTGAAACAGAAAAAAAAAAACTCAATTACTTTGGCAAATTCCAATAACCAATATATAGAAGCAAAAAAACACACAAAAAAATGAAAATTACTACTTCAACTGTGGATGGAGGAATCTCTAAAAGAAAATATACTCCATAAAAGTGAAAATGTCGGGCACCAATATCAAGAATAACTATCAAAGTGAAAGTTCTATTACCATTTGCCTCCGGTACATTTTTCAGTGCAACAGCTACAGCTTTGATAACAATGTCATTAACTGAAACTTTAACATTATGCTGTTCTGCAATTAAGGAAACACATAAAAAGAAATGATTTGCTAGATTCAAAAATTCTCAAGGTCAAGAATAAAAACAACTTGAAGTTCATAATCCATACCTATAAGATCCCTTCTAAGAGAAAGAAGAGGGTCCAGTATAACATCTGAATGGAATAAATCGACAAATTTTAGAAAAGAGAAATTTTAATTTGTATTAACAAATGACTTCACCAAATAGTTACATGACCTGATGATAAAAATAAATGCGGTATGTTTTGTTTTGATTCTAGCAGTCTAGTAGCTATCACCTGCCAAAAAACAAAAAAACAAAAAACCATGAATCTTACAGTATCACCATGTATTCAACCACAACTTGAACGAAGCAGACACTATTTTAAATGAGACCACGCTTACGGCCCAAAACCATCAAAACCAGTATGGTGTAATCAGAATAGATATTTTCACTTGACATGTTAAGTACTGAGAAATATTACTGACAAAATTTTTGAAGAATAAGACAGTACATGTGCCACTTACAAATATTGAATCAGGTAGTCTATTATAACTATCATTTTCTTTTTTGTCATAATGGATTCTTACTTGGAGAGCCTTTTGTAATCATGTTGATTCAAAATGCTGCACCTTGTACCACAAGCATGGCTGGCTTTAAAGCCATGCACATAATGTTGTTGTAATTTGATAGGTGCGTGTCCATTATAATGAACATTTGAAGAATCAGTTCAAAACTGACAAAATAATTTTTTTTTTTTTTTGTCCAAATCTGAATATCAAGTCAATGAAACCTACCTTGCGGATTTGACTATTGGGAAAATCTTCAAAAGAATCTGTCTGTTTTGAAGGCTTTGACTCTGATGGTTTCGGGGCATGAGCACCTGATGCCTTTGACGGTGATGGAGTAGTCTTTTCTTTGGATGAAACTTTTGAACACCCTATTCCTGACTTGATTGCAGCTAAAACATCCCCTTTCAGCAATGTACCATGAGGACCTGATGCCTTCAGCAATGATGTATCCAATCCATGTTCTGTAATAAGCAACTTTGCTGCTGGACTGATCCTTGAAATACTGGTTTTTTCTGATCTAGTTACATCTCTAGTATCATGACGGACTGGTGTTTCTTCTTTGACAGGTGAACCACTGCTAACAGCATTCTTTACAGTTTCCAGATCAGATGCATCCTCAACCTTGCCAGACAGACAGCATCATTGTCATATATCTAAGACACTAGAATAATTGGACTGTATAAAATGGGAAAGCGTTTCATAAATTAACCAATTGCCAGACAGAAATAACAGCCATGTTACAGTGGCTCTAGATGTAAATTATCCTCAAGGACGAGTGAGAGACAGGTCAGAGTCCTACAAGTATCTTTGTACTTACTGTTACTGCAATTGGTTGGCCAACAGCTATATCCTTTGTACCGTCTGGCGCTAGTATCTTAGCCAAGTATCTACAACCAACATTTCATTAATAAGAAATTTTCAAGATTACCCACAAAAACAGCTTCTTCATAAACAATACTAAAATGATTTTTTCCAAGAGATTCACCAAAGCAGAAGCAGACTGATCACGAGAAATTATTGATACTACTTATTAGGTAAGAACCAAGATTTCTACAGTTGCACATGAGCATAAAGTTCAATACTACCAAGGAGATAACGCTTAAAAATGAAAATGAAAATCCCCATTCCTCATGTTTTCGCCATCAGTTACTACTTGGACATTCAAATACTAGTTATCAAAAGAGATGGTTCCTAATCCTATTTACAATGTTGAACACATATCGGCATATGTGAATAAGACACTTCATCAAATAGCCGCTGTAAGGCATTTCAACTGATAAAGCATGCCTTGACAATTTTTGTTCAATTGAAATACTACAACCAAATAAATAATAGAATTGAGACCAAGTGACAATTAGCATAAGCCAAACCAACGGAAAAGGTCAGCATGAGAGAGGAAACAAAAAAATATTACCCCTCTTCAAGACATTCAAATTCAATGGTTGCTTTGTCTGTCTCTATCTCACATATTATATCACCCACTTCTATCTGTTAGACAAGTAATCAAGAAAACAATTCATGTTACTACCGTCAAATTTTTAACGAATTCAGATGAAAAAATTTCCAAAGAAAATTCAAAACCGTAAATTCATATAACTAACCTTATCTCCTTCTTTCTTTGTCCACTTAAAAATATTTCCCTGGCTCTGAACAGACACACAGGAATAGCAGCATTAAGCTCCTCTGGAGGGAATTCAACAATAATCAGTGCATAAAAACTAATCGAAGCTTCCTTACCATTGTTGGTGATAAAGCTGGCATTTCAATGACAATATGAGGAGGAAGTTCTGATGTGTTTATGCCCACAGAACTTGTATCTTGTACCTCCTCTTCCTTTCTGACATTCTGATGTGCTCGTATATCCTCTTTGACCTCAGATCCACCGACCACATTAGCAGGGAGGTTTTGGATATCATCTGCATCCTCAACCTTGTAAATGCACAACAATCAGTCTCTCTACAACTAAGTGCTTGAGTCATAATCAAGTAAATGCTTAACATTAAAGTCTGAAAGATATAGGCGGTAATTAGTAAAAAAAAGATGTGAGAAACCATGACAGTTTAACAATTATTAAGCAGAAAGTATATGTGTAGCCAAAGTTTCAGATAGTGGAGCAAGTCAACTTAGCATTATATTGGCTATTACATTGTCCTGTAGAATGTGATTATGGGCTTTAAATTTTCACTTTACAGGATTAACTGGATAGCATAGTGCTATTCACAGACCCATTTTTACCTCTCACACACCCTTGTTAATTTTTTGCCATTTACCTTCTTCAGTTCATTCGATCCGATGGCCAAAAATTGGGAGGGGTATGTGAGAAATAAAAATGGGTGGGTGGATAGCACTACCCAATTGGATAATGCTTGGCTCTCATTCCAATTTGCTCATAAGGAAATACGGAAATTGGACCCATCATGTGTTATGGACCTTGTGGCTTGAAAGGAATGATTTTTCAAAAGTAGGAATCTCAACAATGGACTTAAGGGTCCGTAGCCTGACAACTCTTTGAATGGCTACATATGAAACCAGCACGTTCATTGTATTCTATATTTGAGTTTCTTCCTTTTGTTTCATTTGTAGAACTATGTATACAGCTTGTATAATTAGGTCGCAGCCCGTTTGACACTTTTCGATTAAATACTTATGAATAAAAATAGGGAATTATTATTGGCACTCCAAAAATCCAATTGTGCACCCCAAACTTTCTGTAATTAGAAAAGAAAAATACTCTTATGGAATTAAATTTTTGGAGTGCCAATAATAGTTCCCTAAAAATAAATAAATAGACTTATCATTAGATTGACTTGGATGACTGTAATTTTTTTTCACAATTGAATTAAACTCC